TACACAACTATCTTAAAATGTAAACGACTACAGATATTCTCTGCTCAACACGCGTAGCAACATAACCGATTCGGGACGAAATTGCTTGGCAAACAATTCGGCGTTGGCGCCAGATTACCAGATTTCGCACCTCTTTCTTGTGGGTTTTAAGCAAACGCGCAGTGAAATGGGAGGAACTAGAGTTTATTTTGTCATAAGGTAGTGTGATTATGCATGTCACGAAGTATTTGCCAGTCTAGTACTGAAGAAATTAGCATGTAGATGCGCATATTGTGGCTTTAAGTGTGGCTATACGTATAAGAAAGTAAAACTGATGTACCTATTTTTTGTCGGATGGTGAATGGCTTCAGTCACAGACTGATTGCTTCTACTATGAACATATGTTTACTAGTATACAATTAAATATAAATATTTATAAAGTTATGAGCATAAACACAATTTGATTATGTGATATTGGTGCATAAATTATACCTACTACTTCCTAAACTCTAACGTGTTAACCCACAAGCCATTTTCTCGCAAAAGAGCATTCGTACCTGAGGGGTAGTTCTCAAGCAGAAGTTTTCTCTGTGGCTTGAGGTAGGATTGCGGTATTGCATCATTCGGTTTTCGCCCGTGAGCCCGTCCGATTCTTGGCTCTGGTCTCCTAGGAGGTTCGTTTCCATAACAACCAGTCGGTCTCTGCATGCTCAATATGAACGAAAGTCGTTCGGGTGACAGGAACTCCATGTACCCGAGGGAAGGACAGAGAAACTCTGCAAATGTTATAACATGAGATGCTGTATTATAATCTTAGATAGGCTACACGAGACACTTGAACATCAAACGATAATACGCAAAAACCTCAGGGGAAAACAACGGCACTAAAGACCAAATACTCATTTGTGTCTAAAAGGCAAATAAAAAATAATTTTACACTAAATTAAAGCAAGACATCACGAGTTCATCAAACACAAACAACCAAATAGATCCACGGATTCTCAGCGCTCAATTATATTACAGCAAGTCATGAAAATCAAGCAGAAAATCAAACACATGTTTGACAGAAAGATCGAAAAACAAATACCAAACAAGTGCCGCATAAGCGACAGTGCTCATCTGAGGTCTGCTGCTCTACTATGTCTTATCTGACCGTTAGTTTCCTTCTAACTCTGCCAAAAGTTGAAATACGCTGTTTCCAATCGGCTAAACCGGCTACGGTCGTTGATCAGACCTGTTCTCTAGGCATTATGGTATTATAATTAAACTGAAAACTACAATCCTTAAACACGTGACCTATATTCTTACTTCATACCCTGCTCGAGCTTGTCTTACTCGCGTTCATACATGTCAACTTCACTAGCTGTCATACGTGCCGACGACCTATGGTCTGCGCGTGCAAGTGCTAGATCAATACATCAGGTGATAGTCACCTGACAAGTTAGGCAGATAAAGCCTAATTCTCATTGACGTTGCTGAAAGTTCACAGGCTAAATTAAATTCGACTCAGCTCGCTGAGCTAATAAAATTAAAACACATCTGCAATGCCAGAGTGCTGCGCATGTTATCACTAGAAGTTAGAAGTGCCAGTTCACCCGATGCCTACAATTAGTAAATGGGTCGGCCCTTGCGGTTTTGCCTTACATTTCGGATGGAACGTAGCCACGCCGCGTCGCTTCACGCGGGTGCTATTAATATAAACAAACACGCTTTCTAGAAAATAATACTGTATTTTAAGGCAGCGCAAACCTGTTCACACACAAACTCTTGTCTTCTGGCAACTTGACACTGACAAATGTCGCCCCATCCACACCAGCGTAAGGGTGGCCCTCTGATATCGAATGGCCAAAAAGCTCAGTTCCAGTCCTGTTGATTAACAGATCCACACAGACCCATGTTGTAACGCCTCCTCTTGCACGGTGTCAAACCGGCTTATCCAGACATTTAGCTCTTCGCACGTCAAGACTGGAAAGCACATTCTCATATGCGTCTTCGCATAAAGTGATAAACAATGGCTGATAGAGTCTCAGTGCTACAACAAAAACGTTTTTCCACTCCTGTCGTCATATGGCCATGTCGTCCAGAAGAATGTTATGCTACTAGCTGACGTTTCCACCACTGCCTTTGACTGTCGCACCTCACATAATTCGCACTGGTGATCGGGTCTTCTTGCCCATCCACACTATGCTACAGCCGATATTAGAGACAGCAGTCGAGCCGCTTCAGATGCTGCGTGGTTGTTGCCGCAAGTTCCGTAACTATCTCCAAGATAGCTATACAAATACAGGGGAAATATCATCCCCCTATCCGATTACGCATACAACATTCTCTTGACCCTGTTGACCCTTGACCACCCAAATTGATGTTCCCGAGTCCTTTTCGGCGAATCTCCCCCCCCCCACGTCTCCAAATAATATCCTTGACCGAATACGCTCGGATGTGCGTTAAGATTTGGTGCCATGTTGACACGCACACACGGACGGACGGACAATCATGCGATTCTACAAGCTGCATCTGACTATGTCAGATGAGCTAAAAATGGAGTAAAAAGCAAAACTTACGTTCTTCATAGAACAAGTCCTCGAGAGCTGGATTAAGACCTGTCTCCAGCTGCTCTTCCATCTGGTAATAGTTGTTCGAACAAAGTTCGATTTCAAACTTATCGAGGTACATTTGCGGTTTATGTGTGAGTAGCCAAGTATTGAGCGCCTGCGCACAGCCAGCCTGTAATGTATAACGTTTCATATTAAAAAATGAAACTACTTTCAGGGGTCAGGGTTAGAGTTAGGTTTTTTTTGCAACATCCTCTCAGATTGTACAACCAAGCTATCATTACACAACTTCAGCAGAAGTGCCGCCATACCTCTATTATTCCAAAATACAACAGCTTACATCTAGGTATGAAAATTACACCAGAAAAAAATCAAAAAGAATTTTACAGGTACTAGAATCGGCAAACGGGGACCTCTTCGACAAGAGAGCTACAGCAAAATCACCATTTTTCCGAGCATGACGTAAAGCACTTGGTGCAGAAGTTGATGAGCAGGCAGGCCACGGGTGAACATGATGTCAAGACACGCGTCCTCCATGGAGCACGGTTTGCCCGTCCCTCCGCCATCTAATAATGCAGCAATGCACCTCTCGCTGTTCTCCTCTGACATCATCACTGAAACAACGATCGCGCGACACTGCACTCCAACCTGTCGAGACAACCGCAATCAGCCAGCCAGCATTTGCGCCAGGGTAAAAAATACATGGGAGCGATGAGCGATTCGCTCTTCAAATCTTTGAAATCGCTAAGGTGAGGCTCAAAATAGCTCATGTAAAATTACTGACGAGAGCTATTTTTCCCACAGACTTTTGAAAAAGAGCTCCCGTGGAAAAAAAGATACTTTTTTCCCTGATTTGCGCGTAGGTTTACTGCAGACTGGTGCGTGTTCTGGGTGGCTTGGCTGTGATACATTATACAAACTAACGTCTACTCTCGCATCACGAATGCTAGCTTTTGCCGGTTGAAAGACGAGCACTCGAGCCAATAATGGATTGTTATCCAAGGTCGCAGACTGACAATAAGTGCATTTTCTCTTAACACAAACATATTTCGGAAACAATAGCGGCACTGCCAAGTAAGCACACATGCATGGGATTGAACGCTCGCAGTTACTATGTGCCACTCGTGCCAGCATAAATATGACTGTAAAGAAACTTACCTGCTTTTTTATTGACTTTTGTATGATTCAACTGGAGGTGAGATAGAACTTTTCTATGGTGACGTAGCAATGCCCATGGCTTCATTGCTAACATAGACATCGACTTGAAGTAAACTACAATACAGAGTACCAGTTACTTAGACAATGAAATGAAACAATTTTACCATTGCCTAAAACTGTAACACAACAGTGTCAACAAGATAAGTCGTGCTTTCTCTTTTTGTCACACATATGTACTGCACATATATGTGCTTACTAGGATTTTTGTCATGCGTATGCGGTACTGCCATGTTTGCTGCTTTTGTCGCTTCATCTGCTAGTGTGTGCAAAGTCATCTCCATCTGCTTGTCTGCAGGGTTCAATGATCTGGCGGCCATTGACTTGACGATTTCTTGTAGGTGGCCTGCAAATAGACAAAGATTACACTTTAGAATTACATTCTAGGTACATCGCTTTTGGGGGGACAAACATTTTAAGCAAAATTATATACTTGTGCAGGGGTAGAAATGAACTTTTGAACAAGGGAGTTCAACGGACTCCTTGCACTCAAAAACAGTGAGTCCGCAGCAAAATGAGGGAGTCTGAAGTTCAAAACTAAAGATATTAACAATAACGCATGTGCTTATTTTGAAGATTTAGCTAAACAAGAAATCTTGGGCACAATACAGAATGTGTTTCTTTCGCATTCTTAATTAAATAAATACAACGAAAATATACTAAACGCTACATACAAAACAAGTGCCGCAGTGCGACAGGGCTCATCTGGTGTCTGGTGTTCTGCTGATAAATTCATTTGTGCATAGCAAGAC